TACTACTCTGAATTTTTCTCATCGATATATGAATAACTTTTACATAAATTGCACAAGAAACATTATTTGCATAGTAGTAGACAAGAGGTATATGTTGTATATTTCTTTATTGTTTGATGAACAGTTAATGAACAACAAATACCATGTCTTCTAAAAGCATACAATATTAAGATTGACTTTTTGATAAGGTCTACTCCATCTCAGGACTTTTTGGATCATCAGGCATGTTTACAAAACTTTCCTAAGAATTGTCTTTCTAAAAAGTTTCTAACGATAATGTTAAGAGAATTTTATAGGTTGATCGTAAGATAAACTTGGACATGTGAATCAAAGCTGACTTAGGTTCGTCCTAAAGTATGACGTCTTAAGGAAGTATGAACTGTGGAGAATATTTGGTGCGCTTTGTAAATCAGAATACCAAACTTCAATTTATGTTCAGGTGAGTTGAACACCATGTGATCACTTACCTAATATAATTATTGATCTCATATCCCAGTAGATAATAACTTATAATCGAGATGAACACAGAGATGCATTTTCTTTGATAACTATTTTGTCAGGTCACCAAACACTCAGATGACTTATTGCTAGCCAGAGTGATGTTCGTCGTTTGACGTTCGTAAACTTTTGAGTATTTTCAAATTATTTTCAGGAACCTCTGAACCATTTCTTTTGTCAAAAAGCTTCTATATGCCTGAAGAACAAGAATTGTGAGTGTCAATGTAGTTCAATAAGCTTAAACAATTAAAAGTAATACAACCTTTGACAATCTTCTACTTTACTCCAGGACATCTGTCAACCCATGGACTTGATTATTACAATCAATGAGCCCTATACCAAAATTGTGAAATTCTTGGTCTCATGCAGGGATATAGGGTTCTTGAATAAGGCTGGGCCTCTTTTGATTATACAGTGAAACAAATTGATTCTCTAAAACGCATCTTTTTTCCGTATTTATTAATTTGGTTGCAGGTTCTTTTCAGTATACAGTGTATGGTGAAAATAATTCATTAAATTTTATTATATTTCTTTGAAAAATATTTTTCTCTGTCCCTAGGTTAAAGCAGATTTTAAATTGCAGAGTTAACATATTCAAAGATGCCTCGTTCAAAATTTTAATTTCACATGACCCCCGAGTCAAGAAGGTGTAAAACAATATTGTTTTGTTTCGTCTGTGATGGTACCAAAAAGACAATTACAGACAAGTAAATAAGTCTACCATTTCTTTGTTTACTAAATTATAAATTGCACCTATTTTGTTAATCCCTGATCATTCATTTTCTCTCGGGCAACATACACTTATCTATTAGTTTATTTTCTTTCATTTCATTCTTAATGTTGTACTCGTATTTTACTCAGGTGATCTTTTAGGCCCTTGTTTTTATATATCCACACAAGGAAAGAAATCTGATAGATATTCGTTTATATATAAATATATATTCGTTCGAAACTAAAACAAACATGCAAGTGTACACAAATAATACTTATTTACTTTGTTACACTTGAGGCGATATCCAAACCTATTCTTAATATCTAGCAAATACACATCCAAGTGATGAAGATAATTCAAACATTTGCAGGTAATGTTCATGTACATTGTGTATCTAAAATTTTATATTCATTTGCTATCAATTTTTTGAATGAAATACTTTTACAGGAAACTACCACAGCAAGTTAAGTAAATCGAGTCTGTTACTTACAACTGTAGATAAGATTTTAAAGAAGACTAACATCGATTAATTTATGTACCAGTATTTCAGTATTAGCTTCCAGAGTTTTATGTGATACAAATGCATATTTAAGGAAACAGGATATTGTAAAATTTAATTGCCTCATTGAAATACTTCTTACTTTTAATTAAATCAACATACTATTGCGATTTGAGGGTAAATATTTAATTAAAATTAGTTGATAAATGATAAAACTCACTCAAGGGGCATTATCTCTTATATCGACAGATATGAATAGAATGTTTACCTCATTGTGTCATTAAAATCACAAGATACACAGGGGTCATGATGTTTCTGGACTAAGCTAACTTTGTAAGGTAAGATTGTCTAATAAAAGAATACTCAGTAATTGTTTAAAATTAATTTTTAACGATGTCTTTTACATTTTATCGTATATGTAATATTTCCTGATAACATAAATATACAAGATAGCAAAGTAAAGTTACTTTCGAAGATCCTTTTAAATACTCATATCCATATATCCTTCTGTTTAAATAAAGTTTGCAAACATGGACAGTATTTTATAGCTCTGACATGAAACTAAGAAGACAAGATATAGAAAGATTACTGGCCGTATTCATTGGCTTTTTAAGCCTGATTACATCGGGATCAACATACGCATTTGGAGCATTTACTAATGCTATAAAGGCACATTTCAACTACACTCAGTCCGAAGGTAATACTCCAACACTTAGTGTAGAATATATGCTGGATGTGCTTGTACCTTCCTTCATATAAGAATGTAAATTTTATGCTTTTTTGATTAATAGTTGAATTCCTTAGTTCCATGCCAAATATTGGAATATCATTTGCATTTCCTGCTGGGATAATTATTGAAAGATATGGTCCTCGTTTGTCAACATTACTTGGAGCAGTATTCAGTTCTCTTGGCTATGCCTTGTTATACAGTACAACTTTACAACAAACATTCTACCGTTCAAAGGTCTGGCTCCAGTGTGTATATTTCTTCATAGCAGGTTTGTAAGAAGCTTTAACAAACTCAAAATAGTTCCTAAAAATAGTATGGGGTTTCAGTTGCTTTCTTGAATGAACTGTTACCACATTTTTTCAACGTTTTTCATTATGGTATATAGATTTTTTTCAAGATTTTTTTATTAAATTTTAGAACAGGAATTTTATACATGTAATTAGTAAAATTTGGGTTTTTGAGACAGGTGAGCGTTTTGGACCATATTGTTGGATATTTTTATATGAAAAAATATGAACGATTTGAAAATGTTAAAAATGTCTATAAATTTTAGGTTTCGGTGCAACATTTTTCTACATGACTCCACTCTCAATAAACATGGGGAATTTTCATCCAAAACACAGAGGAAAAATAGTAGGAATAATGGATGCCTCATTCAGTGCGGGGCCTGCCATATTTGCTGCAATCTATGGAACAATGTTTGTTCAGGGACATGTGACTGACGAAGAAAACCAAGATCTGAAGGGATTCTATCTCCTTAATATTATATGTGCTCTGGTAGTAGGTGTTCTCGCTTTGATTTTCGTGAAACGAATAAGTTACGATTTGGATATTGAAGTAACCCGTATCATCAATGATGATTCAAATGATGACCGAACTCCAATAGCAGTGGAATACAAAGAAATGTTCCCAAGAGAAATCACCGGCATAAAGCTCCTAAAACGCTTTGACTTTCATTATCTTTCCTGGGCCTGTTTCATTTGCGCTGGTTTGCAGCTTATGTTTCAAAATAATTTAGGCACGTACCTAAAGTCCTATGGTTTGGAGAGTTATACAACCCTCTTTACAACACTAAACCCTATTGCAGCCATTGCATCTAAATTTTTTGCAGGTTTCATGTCAGATGCCATCATGCACTGGGTGCCTAGGTCTGCTGTTTTGTTATCTTTTAACATTGTACAAACAGTAGATCTCGGATTGTGTATATTTTTTGCAAACAACTTGGCTTTATTTTTTATCACAGACCTCGTGATTGGATTTGCAAATGGCGCTGTTTGGTGTTTAACGCCTACTATGATTAGTGAGTTTTACGGAATGAAAAACTTTAGTAGGAACTGGGGCTTCATCATGTTAGGGAATGCAGTGGGTGGACTAGTTCTTCAAGAAGCATTCGGAGTTCTATACGATATAAACACACGCTCTACAAATCAATGCTACGGGCTTCATTGCTTTACATGGAGCTTCGTCATTATTGCAGTTTCAAGTTTATGTGCTACAATTCTAAATGTTGGTCTTCTACAGAAAAAGTTGGATGAGAAAAAGTACGGAAAAGAATGTCCAAGAGCCGAATATTGTTGTACTTAAAATAAGGGAAATAAAATAAACAGCCAAGTGAGACGTTACTTCTTTCATTCAAAGTAAGGGTTCTGAATGATAAGATATTTGTGAAATTTTCACCCATACTAAGAGGGCACCAATAGCCATTGCAGGACTGCTAATTAAGTAAGATCATTTTGTGCAAGTACGTACTGCGACAAGGAACCTCAGTTTATAGAGTCTTGTTCGAAGGACTGGTCTCCAATCCAGCTGGGGAATTGGAATCAATTCTCTAGAGCAATGTTTTTTTTAATAAATATTACCTGAAGCGTACTTAAATAAAAGATTTTCCTTTCACTAATTTGTGTGTAATCCACTGCGGCACGTGTCCTTCGGATGAGACCGTATTGAAACGAGGTAAATTATTGACAAGCAAGTTGATGAAACAAGAATATGAGCAGTCTCGTTTAAAGTCATCATTTTGTAAGTTCTATGGTCGATACAATGACCTTGTCAGCAAATACAATTTATCATTGAGTCAAATGCTGACTGACGTTTTTCATACCAATTGTTAGTCCATTATTTATACACTGAATTGACGACGGATTTTTTCCGTTATTTCCTGATCATGACAAGGAGCTCACGGCGGGTGTGACCGGTCGGCAGGGGATGCTCACTCCTCCATGGCACCTGATACCACCTCTGATGTTTCGGGGGTCCGTGTTTGCTCTGCTCTTATTTTGTATTGTTTTATGGACTTTGAGATTGAATACTGTTCGTTATCTCCATATCCTTCTATGAAAACCTGTGTCACGATAGGGTGACGACACGAAAAGTTTTGCAGCCCGCAATCGGCAAGTGATGGTGCCGTCTCTATATGAGTGTGAAAATCTTAAAGGGACAAACAATCAAAGCGAATATTTCATCATGTGGTTTCGGTATATATGTAAGTAATGATAATAGAAAAACATAATATATGACAGACAAGACACAGAAATGTAATAAATATACCATGCATAATAAAACAATGTACATGTATTTTATTTCTCTTTATTATTTTAACATTATCCTTTCCTCCACCAAAACGTATTATCCATTCACCCTTTCATTTCCAAGCATTCTAGAAAACCTTTTTTGCAAAAGCTGGAAAAGGAAATAAAAAAAGAAAACTTAATTCATAAAAGTATTATAACTTCAGGTTTTTCTTTTAATCACAAGGTCCAGAATGTTAGAAATACAGAATCGTGTGCGAAAAAATATATTTTAAAAATTATTTCATACCATTTTTTGCCATCGAATAACATGAAAGCTCCTTCCGCTAAAATGTATTTATCAAGTATACATTGTCCAGTGGCTGACGACCTGTTGTTTTGTTTACGATGGCCACGAACAACTGCTGAAAAAACAAAGACGTAATCTTACGTAAACACCAGAGAAGCATACGCTGGAAAAGAAGACAGGCAATATGAACAGTAGTTCCTGGACATATAATAAATGTCAGATGTCGAGGAATTTCGATTATTTACCTGTTTCTTTTTCCGGAACACAGTATCCTCTGTTCTGGATTCTTTTCTTCCTGTTACCCTTTATTATCACGTGACAGGTGTATCCATGGGGACACATCAAGGGATCCTCATTTTTTCCAAATGGAGACGTTGTACATGTTTGAACTTCAAAACAAATAGATTTACTCTATTCATAAAAATCTTTATAGTTTCAATCGCATCTTTAATATTCCGTCAATCACCCGTTCATATAATAAATCCCGAGGATTGGTCGGAAGGTTATCTTAATAGTAGTAAGTTAAAAATAATTATGTACAAATATCTCAGTCTAAAATTCAGCCAGATCAATATTCAACACTTTTCAAAACATAAAATAAAAACACGATATTGGGTTTCGTCTATCGCCGCAAAGCATAACCGACGTGTTTCTGACGTAACTTCGCGGAACTCTTTTTTGGCTCGTTCATATAATTATAACAAATGATTTTATTTTAGGAAACTGTCGAATTCAAAAAAAAAAGTTAAGGCATGTATTACATGTACTACATAGTATGAGTGGACATTTTCTTTACTTGAATGCTTTGCTTTTCTACTTGTGGCACTTGTGACATTAGTTTTGGATCAACTCTTTATATTTAAACAGTAAAACTTTTTAATATTAACCGAATTAACAATATCTTCTCTTACAAACTCTGGTACGAATGATTTTCTTTAAATATAGTACTCAAAACAATGTTTCGTATCGCTATCGAAGTATAGTATATCTTATATGTAGGGTATAGTACCTTATGAAATGAAATATACTGTATATGTGGAGATTACGAACAGTATTCGAGCTCAAAAGTCCATTAAACAATTCAAAATAGGAGCAAAGCAAACACGGACCTCCAAAACATCAGAGGTGAAACTTTTTCTTTAAATTATGTGATTTTTTTCTGTTCTTACGCTTCGATCATAGATATTCTTCCATAAATATACACATTAAAATACTAGTAACTATATCGAACTGTCAAATTCGTTCTAACGATTTAATTCGTTATATCAGTATCTTTAAAGTTATAACAAATTTATTTTAACAAAATCGACAAATCGTTATATCAAATTCAAAAATATTTTTGATAGGTTCTAAATGGTCTTCCTTACATGTAACTTTAAAATTTTCAAAGTTCTTTTGCATTTTTCTCTTTAAGGAATTAAAATTAAAAATCCCTCTAACCCCTGCAAGTAATTATTTTGGTAAGTATACGTATGATAATTACTAAAAGAGAAAAACTTGCTCTAGTGAAATGTGTGTTATTAAAGGAACAACACGTTACAAAATTCGGCTCAAAATGGTAAAATGATCAAAAACTCACGTTCGTTGTTTTTAGAAGGCCCACTGATAAGCCAAGATACACCTGAAATGATCAATGCAGTAAAACTTCAATGCAGATTATTTTTTTAAATACGTCCTGCAATAAATCTATCCATATTTCATTTCAATGATTAAAAACTTAAGTACACTCACCGGACACAATTCTGCTTCTGGGCTCTTTTATCCAGTCAATAACTGTTAAAATTTGAGTAAAACATACACTAGTAATCACTGTATTCTGTATCTGAATACTGCAAACAGCAGCTTGTATACACAAGTCATGTTCACAACTGAACTTTGTCGTTTCAATTAAATAATGTTTAAAAAAGTTGAGCTAAAGATTTCTAAGATTTGAATAAAAATATGCACTAAGAAATGAATTTTAAATGTGTGAACTGGTAGTCTGACCAATCATAACTGTACAAACATTTATTAATATTTTGAAAAGAAATTCGTGATTAACCGGCATTAGACCTATTAATTTAACAACTATAACTATGGGCAGCGGAAAGGGCAAAAATTACCATAATGAGAAAACAAACAATTATTTTAATTTCAATGACCATAAAAACTTAACAAATGATATACATGTACAATGCATTATCAACAGACATTTTCGCAGAACAAATATTCATTAAAGAAAAATTAACGACCACGTATGTAACAAACATATATGAATGCAAAACCAACGATCATCTTTGCAGTAAAAACGTACATAAAACACGACAAACGAAAAAACTTAACAAACGTGCAAGCGGTAAATCTAGTCTTCCCGACTCCCGACGGTCCAGGAATTTTTTTTTATTTTGGCGATTTCTTTTTTGTCGGCGCACAGAAACTCTTCAAACTTCTCAGGCACATTTCTAGGTTTAAAGAAATTCATTAATATATAAAAACTTAAACAAATTTGTGTATTTATAACTGAATCAGCAGTACCACCAAAAAGCGGTAAATCGAGTACTCAGTTATAAATGCGAAAACCACTATGGGAAAAAAAGGATAATGATGTTTACAAAATAGAATCGCGATTAAAACAACAAACTGACGTATATTTTTTTAATAAATGAAAACCCTCATTTACATGCCAGAAAATTTGTATGCTCAAAAAATTCCCCACACATTTTTTTTACTTCGTATAGAACTCTTTGCCATAACATGTTTATGTTCCTCTGCTCTACAGCATAGATGTGGTCTACCTCGGATCCCCCTTTAATTTTTTCTTTTTTAATTTTAATTTATCTTAAAAATTTCAAATGAAAGAAAATAATTTACATAAAATGAAAAAAATCTCATTCTCCTGAAGGCCGTTTCGTCATTATTTATTTATTTATTTTTTTCTTGGTTGTTGTTGTTACATAAATTGGTTTTCCCCAGTTCTTTAAATATTACAAGAATCTATTATGATACATGTAACTTTACATTACAGTGAAATATCATATGACAAGCACGTAGCAACATTTCCCAATTTTAAGAGTAAGGTCAAAAAAGGGTTATGTAGTACATGTATATTAAGAAAAAAAAATTGGTACTGAAAGAAGTTTTTTAAATCTTTTTTTCAGCTAGATTGAAATTTTTTCTATGGTTACCCCCTCCTTTCAAAAACGATGCTACGTCAATGTATAACAATGCAATACTTTCATTTTGCATGGTTCTGCTAAAGTACAATGTTAGATTAAGCTATTTTTATGAAACGTTTGATAAAAATATCTTTTGAAATCAAATCATTTTGATGTTATGAATTTTTATAGAATTGTGTGTTCATTTTTTTTATTAACACCACCAATTTTTACTGAAATACTAATTCCATCTTCAGATTTGAAGTTAATTTTATTTCAAAAGTTATTGAAATATCAAAAAAGCCACTTTTCCTAAATATTTGTATAAAATTAAAATTTGTGAGAGTGCAAGGATGTGTCAAATTGTCAAACCCGTTCTAAAATTTTGAAGTTTTAATAACTTTATAGATGAAATGAGATTTTAATATATTTTTGTGTGAACATGCAGCACAGTTAATTATATATAAGGCGGGGCCTAATTTTATACAGAAAATATTAACTTCACACATCTGTACAAGGTCTTCAAAATACTACAAAATGAAATTATTTGCTAATTCAAACAGCTGGATAGCTGAAATACTACATACAAATTTACAATTACATGCATTTTTGTCGTTTGTTATATCCCACACAGCAGTATACAAACAATGCATCGATCGCAATGAACTTGTCATTGTGACGTCATCTCGCAAAAATGACGCAGTTTGTACACAGTAATAAATACAAGCAATTTTGTTGAAAAATTTTTATATATAAAATATTATTTGCAATTAAATAAAAGGCCTATAACTTGGATGCGATGTCTGTTTTAGTATTTTATTGATAAACTGTGTGTACATTCTCCAGACAAGTGATACTGTCGTGTGTTTGTATGCAGATTCATTGAAAAAGTACTCGATGGGCCCTAATAAATCGATTTATTGCAAGGGCATTCCCTCAATATATCTTGTCAAGTTTTTACACATAAACTCAAGAAGCATTAAGATATTTGAAAAGTGCTGCGAACCTCATGAAATCTTGCAAATAAATTAATTATAATAGCTTCATTTAATGTAGTTGACCAGCAAAATATTCCACCTGCCGTCCAACAGATTAATTTTTAGCAATTAAAAATGGGAATCTATATAGGTTCGCAGCACTTTTCACAAACTACATATAGCGTTGAAAAGAATTACAAATTAAATAAAGATTTTTAACTTTTTATGTCATTGCAAATTAAAATAATTGTTTGTTAAACTGCAAGTATAATTGCTAAAATTTTTGCCGACATCACGTGGCCATATAAAAAATAATGTTCCCAACATGTAGATTTCAACCACATTACATTATTTTGATATCAGTGAAGTCCTAAAAAGAATCGCCCACCCTTATAAAGTATGTAGTTTTTATCTTAAAAAATCGCCGATATTTCCATTTTGTAACCTTAACTGTGCTGCGTACTGGAACTCGCAATTTTTCTTTGTAAGAATTCTTACGAAGTTTCGGAATCCAATATCTTTATATATATGGTAGTTCAAAATTATTTTGGTTCTTTGGGGAACAAAACTTTATGATTTTGAAAAAACCTGTTAGAAAGGGAACTATGAGTATAAGTTGGATTACCACTTGTTAAATCCAAGTTCTTCAAAAATAAAATTTCTATAATGAGCCTTACAAACGAAGACAATGTTGTTACTTGCTTTGTCAGCAGGGACCAGTTGTTATATGTTATCATCTAATAATCATCATAATTCTACAAAAAAATTGATGTTTTATTTTGTTATTATTTAATACGATTTTAACATGGACCTGATACATTTAATCCATTCTGACAAAGTGTCAACTTCTTTTTCATATCCATATTTCATATCTTTTTCATATATATACAAAAAAACAATATACAAGATACACGTGAAAAGGCGGAAATAAACTCATATTATGAAGTAACAAAAAATAATTATGGTGGACAGATTTGTTCATATACTCTATTTATGTAACTGCATTATTTAATTAATATTTTGGAGTCAGCAGATGACAGATGTGATAAGCAAGATCTTGTTCATGTAATATAATTGTCTTAATTTTAATAATTGCAATTCTTATGCTGTGTTATTGTCCTAATATAACTAACTATTTGTCGCAGAATTTGATGCTTGATTCAATTGCAACATAATCATAAATTTGCCCCCGAAAAAAAAAACAAAAGAAGGGTGGGGGATCCTTTTTTGAAAACATTTTTTTAACATTAAAATATCTATCTATGAAGAAATGCAAAAAAGTAGTGCTTTATCACAATTTGTTATCCATCAATTTAATCATTTTACATGCAAAAAAAAAAAATCACATGATTTATATGAAATACTAATTCGACAAAAAATTGAACCGTTGGGTAAAATCTCTTGGAATAGAACATTTGACTTGAGCATTGGTGAATAGAAATATAATTTCAAAATTTCAAAAAAGGTTAAACATGGTTCCTGCTTATAAACAATAAAATAATGTGAAATTGCACAAAATTAGTAAAACCGTGTTTTCCTTTGTCAATAGAACAATTTTTAATTGAACATATTGTCGGTGTTATTGCCTGTTTATAAAATCCACTAATATAACTTTTTCAAAAAAAAAAAAAAAGAATTTGTATTGGACTCCGTGAAGAAAACTGATAAACTTAAAAATATTATTGCCTTACAAATAAAACATTATATCTATCTGTACAAATGTACAAACAAAAAATCTCCTTAGGTGGTCTGTTATCCTCTTTTAAGACAATGTATGAATTACAAAAATATATATCTTATAAAAATAATGAAAAAGAATCTTTTGATGAAAGCTGGAAGCCATTAATGATTTAAACATCTCTCTCTAACGTCCTTCTCTCTCTGTCTCTGTCCTTTTTTTCTCTCTCTCTCTCTCTCTTTCTCTCTCTCTCTGTCTTTCTCTCACTTTCTCTCTCTCAATGTTTGTCTTTTTGTAAAAAAAAAAAAAAGTTTTACATAATGCAATAAATTATAAAAAAAAATAATTTATTACATAGAATGGTTGCAACATTCATAAATTGGTAACATATTTTAAATGAGCACTTTCCTGGCAAGTCTGGTGCCCTTCCATCATCCAGCGATCTATTTATCTTGGTAAGTGCTCTTGCTAATGATGGATATAAATGCACGAGAGTAGGAGTCGAGAAATAACAGCGGGTTTATATACAATGTATGCATCTTTAATTACTCCTGTCTGGACAAAGAATTTTTTTTTTAAATTTTAAACTCATGTTGTATCTTGTATGTTAATAAAGGAATTTGGGAAGGGAAAACAATTCTCTTTGGTAATAATAACAATTTAATAATCTAAATTACTCATAGAAAAGAAAAGTACGACTTTTAATTACTCAAATTAAATTGGAAAAGGCGAAGACAATAAACAGGATCGGATGTTAGAATTTTCGTGATACGAATCAAATCTCTCAACTCTGATCAAATGATCGTTCCCCATACATGTATATAACACATATCACTATAATAAATAAACTACTACTATTTGTGAACAGGAAAAAAAATCAGGTGCGATGTGATCAAGTGCCTTAAAAAACTCGAAACTTATTCCCGTAAATCTGGAAATTTTATAAATTTTTAGCAAATAGGAATTGCATTCGCAAATATACTTCTCTTAAAAACATATTACTAATAAGAAAATGTAAACAAAGCAGTGGTAATTCGCAAAATTTTGAAACATAAAAATTTATCAACACCATTTTGACCCAAATTTGCAAAATAAAATCGACGTAAAAATTTCCAGATTCACGGTAATCATTTTATATCAAAGGAATCTCATTTCCTTATTAATAAAATCTTAGCTCTTTTCAGTAAATTCACAATTTATGATAATATTTAACTACAAACTTCATACATTATCAGAAATCAAAATGATTTACAAAATACAAGAACTATAAGTAACATTTACCCGAAGCTAAATGTTATTTTTGCAAACATGTTTCGTTTGAATTCTGTAGAAAAACATCAATCCGCGTGTTTCAACCGAAGAAAAAAATAAGAAAAAATTCTTTGCTATCACACCTGCTTCGACAACCCAGGAATGGTAAACGAAACCACGGCCTGCAGTTTGTCTTCAGAAGTGAGAAAGATAGTGTTCACGATTTACGGAACTGATAACAGAGATTCTTGAAATATCGTTTACACGGAAAGCGAAACTAGAAATCTAATCCATAAGACCAGACAATTCGTCTGATAGGCATTGTTCTTGACTTGCCTTCCGTTCGAACATAGAATGGATTGTAGAATGAAAAAAAAAGCTTACTTTACACAAGAGATTGATTTTGCTAAAAGTGGAACATAACTGCCACACAGCAATGTTTTAAACATTTAGTCCGAGGGGAACCTTTCTTTGATGTTGCTGTTATCTATATTGTTTTACCCTAAGAAGCATGCCGTGGAGTGGATTTCAAAGCTCACCACTTTCTCTAAAGAGAGAGGGAAGCGCAGTACAGTCTTTTTTGTCTGCTTTACTGATTAAGTTTTTTCCTGTATTTATACATGTACTCATTACTTTAAAGTTGAAAAGTTGTATCGTACATACTAGTATATATTGTTGTTCTTATAAAATTTAGATGATTTTCACTCAATATCTAGAATTCCTTTAGGAAATTTTTTTTATGGAAAAGTATATTTTTAAATAAAAAAAAAGTACTAGTAACCATGTACTTATATTATATTCAGAAAAATTTACTTTAGTTAAATTATTTTTAAGTACAGTAAGATATTTATATATTTTTTTCTTGTTTTTGTAAACATATTACTATGGATCGTTTGTACGTTTGTATATATATAGTTTGGAATGAGTTGGTGGTTTTATATTATTTTTCCACCAAATATCAAATCTTTATACTTACTAATTGATCTGCCAGCCATCGGGTTTTCTCTTTTGGTATCAAAATGTCTTCGACATTTTTAGCAGAAAGACAGGGCAAATAATTCCATTTCACTATACAAATTAAGAAAAATTGTTTCAAAACTAACATTTTCCTCGCCGAAAAATTCCTTTGAATTTTTACATTTGAAAGAATTTTGCTTCAACCTCTACTCCCTGACGGTTACAAATCGAGCTAATTATATCTACAGCGCATCCGCAATTTAACGGAACACATACCGATTGGGAAAGGTGTAAAATTGTCCAATTTCACAGAACGGTCACTGAATTCTTCTGCCAGTGGTTCAGCAGTTGCCGCGGCGGGAAAAAGCACGTGGCTTTTATTATTCTAACGCTAATATAATTATGATAGTTTTGATCGGAAACGTCTGTAGCGCGTGTTTGGATCTGGTTATCAGACAGTTTTAAAAACAAATTCATCAAGCCGGCAAATGATAATTGAAAAGCAATGTATTCCAAAGGTAACCGCTAAGCTAAACAAACACCACGATCCTACATGTGTGCTTACAACAAAGGTACTCTCGGTATCTGAAATTCTGAACTGAAATTTAATTTAATTTTAACAGCCAGCTATCTTTCAAGGACACCTGAATTAAGTTTGCAAAGATAATCCTTTGTTAAACTTTTTCTAAAATATTTTGTATTGTTGTAAGGATCTTGTTTAGGCGATCTGACTTTAGATCTGCTCGACTAAAATATGCGAATCCTATCTGCAGCACGATTTTTATGCTATAAAACTTTACTACTAGTATGTTCCTCATCCTGCAAAAGCTCACTGTAGTGTCATTTTTGTTGAATTGGATTAAGTAAAACAAACAACAATTTTATGCATAAAATATGCCATTTATTAAAAAAATCACGTGATTGATGCAAAAATACACAAAAAATGACAATGACCAAACCTGGTTACACAATGCAAAATGAAATTTCAATATGCTATCCTCCTTAAAAATTCGTGAAATCAGAAGTACGTACATACAACAGTACAAAAACAATTTAATTATCAATAAATAGATTCATTCAAAATAAAATGTACAAATAAATTATAGTGCCATGTACATGTACCTCTAAATATAGGTAAAGTAAAAAAGCTTGGATAGATGACAGCGAGGCTTTCAGTATCGTTGTCAGATAGAAATGATTAAATACCAACTGGCCAGTTTATGTTTATGCATCATAACACGTGAGTTCGAGCATCATATAGTCTTTTTGATTGGTTAATAGCAGAAGATTAGAAAATGTTTTGACCTGGAATTTTTTTGTTTACCATGTTTAACCAGTGACACAAGAACTTAAATATTTTCCCCTAATATATATGGCACCTGTAAATTCAAAGGAAACTCTTGTAGACAGAAAAAAGGATATTTAACAAATGCATTTCGTTTACGTTAATGTTGCTTTATGTTTCCACTATCTACACCATCCTTTTTCGAAGGAATAATTCAAATAGAGAACAATCAAGAAAAAACAAAGCAGAACATTTACGGTTTCATCAATTAATTATCTTTAAATGATAAACAATCAGATTTTCTAGCTCTTGTTACTATTTGAATATCAAATTTAGTGATGAGCGATAGGAGACACATATAACAGATTATCAGAACATCATTTACACATGATTCATACTTTACATCCTTAATCCTTGTTTCAAATATTATTCGATGATATAATCTTGTACTATGAAGCTGGACATACGTGTTTTGAACAAAGAAACTTTCAAGACAGATATGTAGAATATGTATCACTCTTTTACCGTCTTTCTGACATAAACTTTTGCTATTGTACAAGATCTGTACAAAAACATGTTTTTCTTTTGAAGACTCTTAGTCTCTGAATCGATCCATTTTCAGAAAAACAAACAATATGCCATAAATAAAACGAATAAAAGTCCATTCCAATGTTTCTCTGTATTCGCTGCAGACAAAGGGAATGGTCCGTTACAAAAGTTTGTCTGACACAGACGTACACATATGACGTATCCCTGCCCCGTGTAGCCACATGTCGTCTGGTTGTCTGGGTGGACGTTACTCAGCTTAGAGAGTCTGTAGGAGAAGGATGCCCCATCAGAACAATCCCTAATATAGGAATGTACCTCTCCTGAAAGAACAATTACATGTATGTATTGTTTTATAAAGAAACATTGAAAGTTCTTAACAATATGGCAAATTAAATATAACCTATTTTTCTGAGAAATGTAAATTTGATATATATTTGTAATGAATAAGTCTGATAGAAAATACTGTAGTGAAATTCCTTTGATCGAGTTAATATTTATATAATCAGAGTTTAAAATAGTCTTAGCAATCAAAAGTTATCTCCTATGTCCAGTCAATGTTTAAAACATTCAGAAGATCAAGATCTGACTCAGCAGATCTTAGGAAAGTACATAAGCGGACTCATTCAAGCGTAGAAGAGGAAGGACGTATTACGGACAAGGTAAGGTATTTGTGTTAGCTCATTTGCGGTGTCTCAAAGTTCTGCAGACGGACCATTTGAGCTACATAAATCCTTACAGGTTACTAAAATACTATTATATAAACGGGTGTTCGAAACCCGGTGTTGAAACTATAGGTCTGGGAGCTAGTGCTCAAACATAGTGTCAGACCAGGGGCTTAGTACTTGGAGTAGGAAGATAACAAAGTAAGGAAAACTATAATTATATAGACGATAAGTTTAAATCATTGTGTTGTTGATTATTATCGATTGTGTTTGTTCTTATATTTAAACAAAAATCAGCTAAATACGTCAAATAACGTAAGGAAAATTCTTTATCAAAACTTCATCCGTGGTCGAACCCACAAAACACATTACAATACTGGTATTGCATTTCAAATAAAAGACAGAAACTATTGCAATATGCTTACAGTGATTAGAAATGGATTACCTCTATTTTCAATTGTTTCAATCATACAATATGTGAAGTTTGCGTATCCCCCACAGTTCTTCGCGTATTTCATTGTACTCTGTTGTGTACTTTGTTCTTTTGCCGTCTTTATTCGGTCCTTTACTTCACCTCCCTCTCCCGCCATAGTTTTTATGTTTGTTTGACAGTCAGCACCACGCTGGGTGTCTGTACAGCTGTAGCACCACAAATCGTTCACTTTATATACAAAAAATAGTAAGAATTTAAAGTACTGCGAGCATGATAAAAACACAAAAATTATTTTCTGATCATTGACATGAAATCTAAAGCGTTGAATGTAAATAATTTTAACCTTCTTGACGTAAGATTTTTACTTAAGTATGATTGCTATTTTGCTTAGAATTCTTTTACCTCAACTCTTAAAACTTAAATGATACATGTTTCCTTTTCTTTTGTAGTTTTCCCTTTCCAAGAATTTTAATACAATTCACAACGTATCGCGCAATTAAAACCCCTATTCTCCCCATGTATATGAAAACGAAAGTAGAAATTCTTTTTTTTTTTTTTTGACACTGAACTGACTGAAGTTTTCATATTTAGAAGAAAATGACTTTTTTTCTTCTTCATACTTCTGTTTTATGTGAAAGTCGCACCTGCTGTGGTTGTTTGCATTGTAGTAACTGTTGACTCTGAAGTTACAATCTGTGTAGTGACCGTCGATTCTGAGGTGCTAGTAATAGTACTTGTTTGTTCTGTAGTGCTGTCACTATAAGTACTGACGTCCTGCGTTGTTGAAGCTTTGAACCAATGATAAAAAATACAATTATGCTTATAGTTACAAAATCTCATTTTAACATTTAAATGTCGTATTTAGAATGATTTAAGACATGATTGATTAATATCATCCAGGAAGTAAATAAGTAAGTATTTTTTCTTCCGGGGTGTAGTTGGATTAATTGGCTCGTAGGCACTTTGATATCTTGAGCATGAAAGGTTTCATTCCAAAAATGATAGTGTTTTGAAAATTAAAAGACACAATAAAATGGGACAGATGGACCCCCTTCAAATGTATTAGAGTTTTTGTTACTTACCTAAACTTTGGTGCTTCAATATTCCAAAACACAAGAACAGGACAAGAAGCATTTCTAAATATTTTATATTTACTGTCTTTGATAACTTATTGTATTTGCCTCTGAATAAGGTCTGTCTACCCCTCACATTTTCACTGTAATTACCCTTCGTGTATTATGTTGGAATACGTGAAGTGTAATGCATACAGTACTGTACTTCATGGGTGAATGGTTCGATCTGTTTGAATACACATATTGACATGGTGGAATGCTTGTCTTATAAGGACTGGGGTATTTAAATATTTCAACAAACAATACTTCAACAAACCGGGCTTTTAAAGTTAAATGAATGATTATGTTTCATGAGAAGATCTAGAAAATGATTGATTTTTTTCTCAAAAAAGCTATCCATTTCTTTGGAAATACGTGTATCTTATTTTTATGGAGTATTTTTATTTAGAAGAATACATTTAAAGAATGAAATCAACGGAATTTTACTATCAATTGATATGAAATAGATGGAGATAACGTACAGTATTCAAACTCAAAAGTCCTTTATACCTTACAAAATAGGAGCAAAGGCAAACACGGATTTCCAAAAAATCAGAGGTAGGATCAGGTGCCACGGAGGAGTGTTGATGTTTATGTTTTTCAAAAGTTCATCACTATGCAAAAAATTTCATTAATGAAAGACGTTATTTGTAGATATGTTTCTCTTTATGCACAGATTTAACAAGAAAGATAACTGAGAATTGTTTGTCCATTTTACTTTTATTCATAATAAACATTTTAACTTCGACTTTCAATTATCCTCGGAATGGTGTGACTTATATAATGTATTGAAAAATCGAACTTTTTGATTTTGGAAAAAAAAATCTGATTTCAAATTGTCTGAGAGTTTCTTAATAATAACCATTATTTACCTAGGATTACACAATTAGCATACGACTGGTTTTCATTGTGGTCCTGAATCAAAACATATACTTATAATCATATATGATCATATAAAATTAGTATCTTAATATAAAAACACAAGATATAAAAGTACAATCACATGAAATATATAAACAATAAAATCATATTTGTAACAATACACTCATAATTTGGCACACTCATTGAATTTGAAAAAAAAAAAACTGGTTTAGGCTCTGTTAAAATTCTCAGTAAGATACAGTTTTTTTTAAAATCACTGAACTACAGAGTTTTCGTGATTTTCTGATATTTTGTACCAAAAGAAATAAATAATAAATCAAATAATAAATTAACCAAATACCTGCAAAAACCAGCAACTACTCCGACCGGGACAAAATCATACACCCCAGTCGTGCTCGCCGACAGCAAAGGGAAGTGGCTAGAGCAAAAAGCAACCCTACCAACGGAAAGAGAAACTAAATGGTGGGCGAAGGGAGGACGAACTTGTAAAGAGGGATACAAATGGCTCAAATCCAACTTCAAATCTAAACAGAAGAAGCTAGGGAACATCTGGCTGTACGTGTGGTTAGGAACCTGTGACTTAACAACTAAGAACAAGAAGTACATAGCCCTAACCCACGAGGATGACCGAGCTATAGAGTATGCGGCCGAGTACCTACAGAAAATCAGAGAGCTGGTAAAATCCTACCCAGGTTGCAAGGTAACATTCTTGGAGACTCCCACCTACTCGATTAAAGACTGGAACAAACACAAAGGGCATAAAAACCCAGATGACTTCATAGATCAAGACAAAAAACTAGCAGACCAAATATATAAACTTAATGAAAAAATCCGACAGTTAAACCAGAAAGAAGATACTCACTCTCCCATATTCGGCACAGATCTTATCAAGAATTCCAAGACAATAAAGAACAAAAAGACACGCACAGAATTGAAACGGAAAACGCACAGCTTCTGGCTTTACATAGATGGAATTCATCCAGGACCTTTACTCGCAAAAGTCTGGGTAAGAAAGATTGCGGAACAATCAGTTAAAGACTGCTGGACATCATAGTAACAACCCCCCACACCAACCTACTGTAACATAATAAAACTATACCAGTCAGCGAGGATTTTCCTCACTACACTGGTCCGCCTTATACGTAGTCAGTGTGGATTTCCCACGCTACACTACTAATAAAATTATCCATTAACTATAGACACTCAACCTAAATTATTTCCAGTCAGCGAGGATTTCCCTCACTATACTGGACCGCCTCGTAAGCAGTCAGTGTGGATATCCCACGCTATACTGCTAAGTATACAACTCTGATTCAGTGAGCGAGGATATTCCTCACTATACTGAAAACCCTTTAACCATCAAATATTGTTACAGTAGAGACCAACTTAAAGAATGCATACAAAACCATTGTTCATTATTGCCATCCTATCTATATACCTTAGCCTGAATAACAGCAAATCCTGGCTCAAACAGCAAGAAAATGTTAACCTCCTTAACGCAAAACTTATGCCATACAGTAGAAGACCGATCCAATTACCTGTAAGAAACCAGCCAAATACAGCACTGTTACTACTAATTATTATACAAGCAGGCGACATCGAGGTCAACCCAGGACCCAAAGCCGCACACGTGGGTTATGCGAAAGACCAGTTACATGGTCCAACGAAGGCGTATGTTGTGATTGCTGCAGCATCTGGCACCACCGCTCGTGCATTGAATTGTGCACAATGGACTATGAACTCTTACATAGATCCAATGTCCAATGGATGTGTTGCAAGTGTGACAGCTTAAACATATCGTCCTTCACCTACCACTACTATGAGATTGAAAATACCAGTTACTACGAACCTCTTTCTTCTGATGAAAGTTTCTTGGACTCATTCACATCGAAATTTAGCCCACATAAAACAAGTAGTCCTAAATCAAGCATACAAAGTCCACATGCGACATCATATACAACTCAAAAAAGCCAACATATTAGCAAAAACACAACGAACCCAATGCAACACCTACCAAAGAAAAAGAATCTAAGAATACTAACGGTTAACTGCAGAAGTATTCGAGACAAAACATCAGAATTTAAAACTACAATATCCTATACCAAACCGGACATTGTAATCGGGACAGAATCCTGGCTAAAGGGAATAAAACCAGGGAAAAACCCCACAAAAGACGCCATCAAATCATCAGAAATCTTTCCAGAAAATTACGCGTCCTTCCGAAATGACAGGGGCACATTGGGAGGAGGAGTATTCATACTAGTCAACAAAGACATAATAGCCACGGAACAACCTCAGTATGTAACAGCATGTGAGATTGACTGGATAAAAATCAAACTAAAACACGCAAAAGACCTATTAATAGGTGCATTCTACATGCCTCGCAGAAACATCAACATTGTAGATGAATTAGAGAAATCACTCAAATTAATTTCAGAAGATGGCCAAAGTAACATCATTCTAGCTGGCGATTTCAACTGCCCAGACATACTATGGGACAATTTAGGACTCAAAAGAAACGCAACGGACAAAGAGGTACAGAACTCACTGGTAGATGTCACATCTCAAGCGGGGTTAACCCAAATTCAAAGGGAAAACACTAGGGAAAATAACAACCTGGACCTGGTCTTCACAACAAACCCCTCTTTAGTCAAATCATCTTCCGTAATCCCAGGCATCTCGGATCATGCAATAGTCATTACCGACCTAGATACAAAGCCGTTTTACCAGAAACAAAACCCTCGGACAGTATACTGTAAATCACGTTTTATTCGCGAGAACTTTATTTTCGCGTAATTACGCGAGACAATGAGCTCGCGAAAATTTCATTCTCGCGTATAAAAGTATTCCTTATGATTATATAAAGGAAAACAACAATTCGTGAAATATATGTCTCGCTAAAAAAGAGTCAACGGCTATCTCGCGAAAATAAGGTGTCGCGAAAATTTAGTGATCTACAGTACATATGGTCAAAGGCGAATTGGGAAGGACTAAACAAAGACCTTGGAGAAACAAAAGACCTACTGATTGATCTGGATACGAACAACAAAGACGTCGAGAATATGTGGCAAACATTCAAAACCATCCTATTCAACAGCCTAAAAAATAACGTACCAACAAAAATGATAAAATCCAACAATAGGCTCCCATGGATCAACCACAAAATCAAAAAGATGATCAAGAAGAAACAAAACCTGTACAACCAAGCAAAAAGAACAGGGTCATGGACAAACTATAAACACCACCAAAAAGAATGCAAAAGACAAATCAGGAAAGCAGAATGGAACTACATAAATACAGCAATCCTGGAAGGCATGGATAAGAACAACTCGAAACCATTCTGGAAATATGTTAAATCTCGCAAACAAGATAACATCGGAGTAGCACCCATAAAAGATAACGGGCATTTAATCAATGACAGCAAAGAAAAAGCAAAGATCCTTCTAAGACAATTTTCATCAGTCTTCACAAAGGGGAAAGTAAAAACAATGCCCTCGACAAACATCAACCTAAAAACAGGAATAAAAAGAATCACCATCAGAGAAGAAGGCGTGGCAAAACTGCTTAAAAACATCAATCCATCAAAAGCAGCCGGACCCGATAACATCCCAAATAGAGTCCTGAAACAATGTGCAGACCAAATAGCACCAATATTGTCGATTATATACCAAAAATCACTAGATACAGGGGAATTACCAAAAGACTGGCTCAGCGCAAACATATCGTGTATCTTCAAAAAAGGGGATAGACACGCAGCTGAAAACTACAGACCAGTCTCCTTAACATCAGTACCCTGCAAGCTACTAGAGCATATCATATGTCGACAAATGATGAAACATTTGGAATGCAACAAAATATTAACATCCTTGAACCACGGCTTCAGGTCCGGATATTCCTGCGAAACCTAACTCGCTATAACCATACACGACATGTTACTATCCTACGACAAGGGTCATCAAGTAGACGTAGCAATCCTGGATTTCTCGAAAGCATTCGACACTGTTCCCCATGATAGACTCCTACACAAACTCAATCAATACGGGATAAGAGGAGAAATCCATGACTGGTTAACAAACTTCCTAACAAAAAGGACAATGAGAGTCCAGTTAGATGGGGAATACTCGGACGACACTAGCGTGGAATCCGGGGTACCACAGGGAACAGTACTTGGACCCATACTTTTTCTCTGCCATATAAATGATCTCCCTGACGCAGTAAAATCTTCAGTTAGGCTTTTTGCCGACGACTGCCTTTTGTACAGGGAAATTAAATCAC